TGTGTAAAATGAGTTTGACACCCCTGTTCCACAGTATGAACAACATTACCTCTGGCCACTAGGGCTTGGGTAATAGCCATGCTGATCACAGAGAAGGGCACCGCTGTGGAGAAATCATAATGATGTCAGTGTAAACACGACGGAGTCACAACAAACAACATTTTCGCATCCTAAACCATCAAGCTGGCGTGCACGGGAAACTTACACCTGTAAAAAAAGCTCTCCTGGTTGCACTCTCTCAACACTCTCCTCTCTTCTTCTGTGGGGATGTAGTCAATGTTCAGCGGCGTCTGCAGGTTAACGCAAACACCTTACTGTTAGTTAACAGCCGCTAGAAGTCATAGAAATCCACGCAAACGTATCCATCTTCAAATTACTGAAATTTAAACGGAGGGCAACAAAGCACACACCCCTCTCCATAAAACTGCGCGTGCAGTTCATCCAAAGTCACTGCCAGCTACCGTAAGCTAACGTGTTAGCATCTAAATTAGTGCGTGTTTATCTCCATGTTTTACCTGCGCCGGTTGGTGCTGCCGCTCGCCCGGGAAACCTGTAGTGGAGGACGACATACTGACGATAATGTCCAAGCTTCCTGACACCTCAAAGCATGTGAACTAACATAGTATAAGCCACTCGGCGTACTGACTTGTCTAGAGTTTGGTACAATGTCATTGCTACAGATAGCGTTGACATTAACCCGGAAGTTAAAGGAAAGTTGCATTTGTTTAGCTAACAAAAAAGGAGAAAAGAAAGCCTGTTAATCTCAGTTTTACTGCTGGAATGTAATCTCCCATGAACATGATTCCAAATAATAAAAAATAAACATCGTTGCAATTGTATTACTTTAAAACATCAGAAAGCGCTCTCAACTGGGTCTTTTATTTTGGAAAAAAAAAGGCTGTTAAAGCGGTACCAATGTTGTCAACCCGCTCCCTCTAGTGGAGGTGAACTATTTTCTGTCACTTTCCGGTTCACATCTTCATATTATGCAAACTATTTAATTGTTTTCATAATCATAACTGCCTTATTGTGTGGCTATTGGTTTGCTGGTAAGAAGAATACATTTTTTAGAGCCACACGCCCAAAGAGATCCGATACTAATGAGAATTATTAGAATAATAGTTTCTTGCCTGTCAAATAGTGTAATCTTGGACATTTGTCATAGAGTCGGTTAAAGACGGCTAAAGACTCTATGACTCTACTTTATTACTAGTAGTCTGATTACTAGTAATAAAGTAGTAATCAGACTACTAGTAATAAAGTAGCTGAAGATACAATTTAAAAAGGGTTCTTTGCTAAGTTGTCTGTTATGTGTAGACACAACACTGTTCCATCTCTTAAATTGCACAGCCTTTTCATGAACAAATCATTCATAGGTCAGTATTAAGTGACTTAAGAAACAAAAAGCATTCCTGTGAAAATAGCCAGGTGCAAGTACTTTGATTTAATATAAACAAAAAAGCAGCCATTGTCTTTTAAAAGACCTTGATAAAACTGAAGAAGCATTTCTCAAGAACATTTTAAAAACATGACAGGAAAGTCTGGCTGCTAGAAAGCAAAATGAGGGGTGACTCAAGATGTTTGCACAGTTTGTCACATAATCATATATGCCTCATCATATTACATTTTACAATACTGCAACTTTTATAATATACATTATGAATGCTACGTAATATTTCAATTGAATAACACATTACATTTTACTATAATTTTGTCCATGTTGTGCTGATTATTTAGACTTTACAGACAGCAAAATACTTTCCAGAGTTGCACAACTAATTTTTCTGTACTTCGTTAGTGATGTATCAGTTTAGGAACCATTAATGGCAACTTGATTTTCATTAAAAATAATATACAGGGCCACAAATGGGTGATAAGAGCCAAATTGTGCAGTGCTGTAATATCATGGTATAGTGCCTAGATGATGCTGTTGCACTTGTAAACTGAAAAAGACTTTGCCTCACATCCTCCTGAGAACCAGCCTATTAATTTATGTCCTCTTTAATGGACAATTGTTTTTGTTCTATGTCTTTGGACATATTTGAGCTACCATAATAAGCCACGTTGTGTTCAAAAGAGAACATCCTGGCTTTTCCAATGATATCTCATGTGTTTGGGTGGCCTCTTTCATCTCCAAATAGGCGGGACTTCACAAAAGAAGTTCAACTAAAACATAATTGTTTCCTTGGTTTTCAGAAGGACATGCCATGTAGAGGCACATATATGCATCAAAGGTCTTTTAATGCTTCTATTAAGGAGAAGATCAAGCCTGTGAATCTTTTTATCCTAAGCATGTTCAAAATAAGTACAACAGAAGAGAGACCACAATCAATAAAAGTAAAAGAAAACTAAAAGACAATGTCAGTTGTATCCTTTGTCACCTTAGTTATCTTCCATTTGGTTTTACTGCACGGCAGGAGATGCAAGGCTAAAGGGTATGTGTGCCTTAACTGTGTTGGTGTGCGATGGAGGTGCTCCTGTTTAGGGGTAAGGCCAAACTGGAATGCTAAGGCATAATCAGCCAATTAGAACTGTAGCTGGGGAGTTGTAATTTGTGGGCTTTTGGGACAACCAGACGGGCACCTCAGTGCACTGGGTTGCAGAGGGGCACAGCGTGGCTTCTGGGACAATCAATACTGGCAACGGTTTCATTAGGTCACTGCAGAGTTACTTGAGCTAACTACACTGTTACATAACTGGGCCACCCAAGTAGCTCTAAGCTGTGGTATAGGTACAAATTACTTGCTGAGTTAACTGTGGCACTTTGGTTTGTTTTTTGGATTCATATTAACTACCCCCATTTCACCCCCCCCCCCCAAAAAAAAACAACAACAAAAAAACAAAAAAAAACCAAAACAGTTACACATTTGCATGGTTAATCTATCTAAAATCAATTATGTCTGCTAAAGCAGTCCTCTTACACAGAATTCCTTTATGAAAGTTAAGGTGTTCAGTATTTGTTGAAAGTGCTTCAAAAAAATCTAATTAGCACTTCTTTAAAATGGAAAATTATGAGTTCATATTTATTTCATGTGCATCCACATTGACAAGCTGAACCTAATAAATTAGCAACAGAGCATTTGGTCAGATAGGAAGGATACATGGAAATGTCCCACAGGGGCTTGTTGTGCACTAGAGCAGTGGATTCTGGGTTCCCATGCTGGCGCAGCTACCATGGAGATTCAGTGCATCACTCTGGCGCAGATTGACTTTTTTTGTTTGTTATGAAGAGTTTTATGGAGCTAAACTTAATTCACTGGCAGTTTGAAATATTGACCAATGGGTAGCTGGATTAGGAAAATCAATAATTTCTATCCAAAAATGCTCCAAAAATACACTCAAGTTGGACTTGTATGACATTATAGACCCACCCCATCCCCAATACAGTCAATGATCACACCCCACTGCCCTGTGTGGTATAAATAAATCTTTGTCAGGGCATCCATTGTGTCTGTCACCTCTTTCCCATGTTAATCTCAGGGTCCACCAGCTGGAGATATCCTCACTCTGAGAGCTGTGCATGACACATGCAACGAAGAATTATTTTTTTAACAGCTAAATTAAGCACAGAGTTTTTGCTTTAAGAGTTCATGTTTTAAATGGATGATCATACTTTCAAACGGGACACGCAAACAGAACTGATTATGAGTTTTGCGTGCAAAATGTACAAAGTACATCGGTAGGGTAAGTTTAGCAGCAGGTGTGGAGGTGCAGTTGAAAGCTGACGCCACCAGCCTGAGACTTATCAGGTACAATGTGAGTTGGATTGCAACACCACTGGCAGAAAGATTAAAGCAGAGTCAGGTAAGAATAATCAAAGTTTGGAAGGTGTGTTCTTCTTATCATCGTGACGGAAGTGTTCCCAGTGATGTGAACACTGCACATCACATTTTTTTATCTGCACAAAGGCAGCATTTTTAAACCGGAGGCTGAAGTAAAAAGTGCACAGGAAGGATGGACACACTACACCCGCCACAGGTGAGGACAGACATGTCTCAGTCAATCTTCTAATTATTTTTGCTGCTGTTAACTGAAAACTGAATGCAAAACTGGAGTGTTTAAGTTAATAAAATTATATGATGGATTGGGAGAATCAGTATGGGTCAAGAGTTCATGAACTGCAATATTTGTATGGTAACACGAGGATGTGTGGAGATTTTTAAATTATATTTATTTATAAATTCTTAAAATATGTTTTAACATACATACTGCTATGTATGCATGTGGCTCTTAATTCATGTGGGAAAAAAAACACGTTTATTGTTACTGAGCTGGAATTCAGAACAGAAAACACTGAAATTAAGTCTGAAAATGATTGGATGTGGTCCACTGAAGCCCAGCATGTGAAAACTAAAACTGACGTTCAATATTAGCTGTGCAGTAATCCTCTTATGAACAAGTAATGATAGAAAACAGGGCACAGCTTAGACAAATGTGACACAAAGATCAATACATGTATCAATACATGGCATGAGACAAGATGTGTGTGTGTGTGTGTGTGTGTTATTCCTGAAGCCAATACCTGCTAGAGAAAATTAGTTTAAAAGCGAGGAGCCGATACAGCTGAATGAGGTTTTCTGTATCTATGCTTAGTTTGCTGCATTGTTAGTTAACGGCAATCATCACTCTAACAAATTGCAGCAAAAATAGAGGAAATTTTACATAGCAATGCATCATTCTGTGTAAAAGCTTGCTGCATTTAGGGATAACAGCAAGCTACTTTACAGTTTATGTATAATATGGTGTTTTTTCTTTGTGTTATCTAAATATTACAATAGCGTTGGTATAATTTAAGTATTATTTATGCTTAAGAATAGTTTGAGAATGACTAAAACTAAATGAGTAAAAATGAACCTGATTTTTTTTTTCAGCAAATGGCTACAAAAAACAAATGTAAGGAAGACAAAGATGAGAAAAATGGATATAAAAGTAAAGGTGTGTAAGGAAAAGCTACTGATTGATTTTATCAGAATTACATGTGTGTGTGCAGCAGGACAAAAATGGTCTTTTTTCTCATGTTTATAGAAATCAAAGCGAGCCCTGCACATTCCACTGCGGCTCTGATCGTGGATGAGCCGGAGGAGACAGATCCATGGGACCTGCCAGAACTGAAGGACGCGGGTGTCCCGTGGTCAGGTGTAGACTCGTTGTTTCTAATAGTACAAGCAATGTCTCATCAAGGACTGTGATAAGACAGTCCTGATAAGATGTGCACATTGTTAATAACTATTGCATTTACAAATCAGGCCTAGTGATTAAGAACATTACCTGTACATTACACCATAAAGAGCTGCAGTAAAACACAAAGTCCTGCAGTTAAAGAGTTACTGTTTGTTACAGTGATAATTAAAATAGTCACTGAGAAGCAAAGTGAAACAAAGTGAACCCCCCCCCCCCAATAAGTTTATGTGTTTAGGAGTTTTTCCTCATGTACACCATATTAATTTTCAGTGTGTTAATATTCAGTGTGTCCTATTAAAGGTGCAAATGCTTTTGCAAAAACTTGTTTCATATTTCGAGTTTGTCTGTAAGTTTGATGATTTTGTAAATATTTAGTTAAAAACAGCTTTAAGTGTTGATCTGTATAAAACTAAAAGAATAAGACATAAAAGGTTTTCATGTTTTAAAACATTAATACAAACTCTAGTTTGCTTCTGGATCATTATTACCTCATTTTAAGAAGTTCAAACATTGATCTGATTACTTGAACAGTGTACCAGTAATAAATGGTAGTGTTAGTGATAGCAGTGAACAAACGTCCTGTTCAGATAAGATAAATTAGGTAAATTTGCTTTGACTGCAATAGAGGTTAAGATGAACTCTAAAATTATTGAATGTAATACTACTAGTATATAAAATTATTAGTGCTGTCAGCGCTAGTCTTGTTAAAATGACGTTAACGCCATAACCGCATTAACGTGGCAAATCTCCGTTAGCGAGTTACTGCGTGGGGCTGCACGGCGTCAATGCGTTAGCGTGGTTAGGTCGTTAACGCATTAACGCCGTGCAGCCCCACGAGATTAACGCTGACAGCACTAAAAAATATACATGAATTACTATATTCACTTAGTTGTTACCCTCCTCTTTGAATCCAGCGCCACTGGACTATAGAGCTTACAATAAAGAAGAAGGGGGGGTAAGGTGTATTTTTGTGTAATAGTGCTTTTTTTCAGTCAGTTATTTCAGACATGTTAATCTTGTATATTTTGCTTTGTCTCTTTCTATTTGTTTCAGCTCTGGATACCAAAGGGAAGGTCCTCAGAGTGCTGATATCAGTGGGGAAGCTGATTCTGCTTTTAGGTTTCCTCTATATGTTCGTTTGTTCTCTTGACATCCTGAGCTCAGCTTTCCAGCTTGTGGGAGGTACTCACTCTTAAACTTATCAGAAGCTGTGAGTTAATGTAATGTTGAGCAATAAACTTGCAAGCTATAGTCCTTTTACCACAGCAGACGTCTTGTTTTTAAGACACTGTGCAAGTCACCTTTAGCAGTACTCAGTTCTACTACTGTTTAAAATGTACCCAATCACCAATCCCAAGCATAATATATAATATTTTTATATTCAAAAATAAAATATGGTATGAATGTGAAAATGTTCACTCTCTACTGTTCACCTGGTCCAGGTAAAACGGCAGGTGACATCTTTCAGGACAACGAAATTTTGTCCAACCCTCTGGCTGGTTTAGTCATTGGTGTTCTGGTCACCCTGCTGGTCCAGAGCTCATCCACTTCCTCCTCCATAGTTGTCAGCATGGTCTCCTCTGGTTGTGAGTATGAACTTCTCCCCTCTACCAGCACATACAGAGACACATCCATGCACAGAAAACTCATCATGAGTGAGGATGATATTGAAGGAGGTCTTTGTGTCTCCACAGTGTTAACAGTTCAGGTAGCCGTTCCTATCATCATGGGCACCAACATCGGCACCTCGGTCACAAACACTCTAGTCGCCATGACGCAGGCTGGTGAACGCAACACTTTTCGGAGGTAATGAATTTGTGCATCATGGAAGCTTCCTAAAAGTAACCCAGGAGAAAATATGTGTGTGTTCTTCATTATATTGTAGTAATATACAGAAATATATACCTTGCGAATCTTGTGGGCATTCTCCCACGGTATCTAGAGGAACACCCTGATGAATTATAGCTCTGTTCAGACGTTTACATGCACTCATCATGGGCATCGATGTATGGTTATTCGGGGATTTCCATGTTTTCTTTTAACTGCTCTTTTTCCAGAGTGAACTTACTGTACAGAATACATCTTTACTGACTTAAAAAAAGGATTGGGTGCATAAATTTGAATTTTCTGTAATCTACACATGGTCAAAACTATACACGCAGGATCGAATATATACTTTATCCACTCCAAAACCAGTTTTGATGTGTGAACGTCCAACTGTTTCCAAGTTTCAACCATCTAGCTGTTGCTTTGAGATGAAGTTAGAGAATGTGTAGGACCTTTAGCTTCTCCTTTGCTTCACCATATGGGGGTGGTGTTGAAGGTCTCAGTCCATGGCGATATGATACTCACTTCACTGACCGTTATGTGGTATTTCAGAAGTTTCTAGTTCATGGCAGGCTTGTTCCAGAATATCCTAAGCAATTTCTTCTCATCCTGGGGTAACAGTTTGGGACTTACTCCAGAACTCTACAGTTCTTCTTCTTTGCTGGCAAAGAGAAATTATCAGCCGTAGTCACTCATGATCAAAAAATTCTTGCTTTTTTTTTTTTTTATCATTTAAAGTCAGTAAAATGTATTCTGTACAATCATTCCACCCTGAAAGAAGAACAGTTCAATGAAGTCATTAAAGCCAAAAATTACCATGGCATTCATGCCAATGATAAATACATGTAATAATAATAATAATAATAATAATAATAATAATAAATAATAATAATAATAATAATAATAATAATAATAATAATAATAATAATAATAAGTGTTTTCGGTGAACATAATGACAAACCACAACAGCTATTATTATTATTATTATTATTATTATTATTATTATTATTATTATTATTATCATTATTATTATTATTATTA